AGTGATGCTCTGTATTCTTGCTGCTTGGGGGGGGCAACAGTGGGAGGGGCTTCTGGCGTTCCGGCCCCACTGCTGGACCTCCTGATGGTATCTGGTATTTCTGGCCACTGTGTGACACAGAGTGTTGGACTGGATGGACTTTTGGCCTGATCCAACATTGGCGTCTCTTATGTTCTTATGTTTTTCATTCCAGTGTCTCAGTTCCCAGGACGTGAGCTGCAGCCCCTCATTTTCCCGGCCCAAGTCCGCCGGGCAGCTGTTCCTCCTCCTGCAGTACCAGGCCCTGGCCGGTCGCATCAAAGTCTTGGTGCGGAAGGCCGAGAACCTGGCCCGCCTCACCCGCATTCCGGGGACGCCAGGTAGGACGGTCCAGAAAGGTGCTGCGCCATGAGCGTCAGTCCTCTGCGGTTCCATGCTTGCGTGCATTTTAAATTGCTGTCAAGTGCCGGGTTTGGATCCTGGGCAGACTCAGGCTTCGCTGTGCTTGGGGAGAGGGAACTGAGCTTCTAGTCTTCACGGTCGTTATCCGGTCAGCTTTGGAAGCCGTCTCCTTCCCAGGGTTGGATCCAATGTGCTGTTGTGGTTATAAGTGTGAGACTAGGGTCTGGGAGACCCCAGTTCAAATCCCAACTTGTGCCATGAGGTCTGCTGGATGACAGCCCTTACCTGGCTGGCCCAATCCCGTCAGATCTCGGAAGCTAAGAGAGGCATCTGCTGGTGTGACCTTGGGTCAGTCACAAGTTCTCTCGGAGCTGTTCTCTCAAGGGCAGTCCTCGAAAGAGCTCTCTCACCCCCGCCTACCTCGCGGGGTGTCTGTTGTGGGGAGGGGGAGGGAAAGGAGTTTGTAAGCCGCTCTGAGACTCCTTCCGGCAATGGGTGGGGTATAAATCCAATCTCCTCTTCTTCTTCTAAGCAGGGTCAACCTTGGCTAGTATTTGGAAGGGCGATCTCAAAGGAATACCAGGGCTGCCATGCAGAGGCAGGCAATGGCAAACCACCTCTGAAGCATCTCTTGCCTTTAAAAAAAAAAAGTCTAGCTCGCCACCTAGTGGTGCGTGATGCTAAAATAACTAGAACTCCTGGCTGCCAGACAATCTTAGAATCTCCTGGCTATTTTACACGCAATGTCATACGACGACAACGACAACAACAATAATTATTATTATTATTGCTGGATGACCTTGGGCCAGTCACACACTAGCCCACCCCACAGGGTTGTTGTGAGGATAAGAGAGAGGAGAGGACAATGATGCCAACTGCTTTGGGTCCCCATTGGAGAGGAAGGTGGGATAGAAGACAGGTGAATAAATCAGATGTGATTAGATCCTTCTGTGTCCCTTACGGCCAACTGCTGACAAAGAGCGTTGGGCTCTGCTGTAAAGGTCTGTAGAAACTGGAAGGTTCAGCCTTGTGTGTATGAATGTAACTTTTGCACCTTGCTCCTCTCTTTACCCAAACTTATAGCCCCAATCCCACCCCCGAGACCCAGACCCATTACTGGATTCACTGGCAGCCTGGGGGGTGTATCCCCAGCTCTGAAGCTTCACTCCATGCATCTGAGGAACTGAAATGTCATCGGTGAGCATCTGGAGCACAGCTGGACCATTGGTCCAGGGTTGTCTATTCTGACTAGCAGTGGGTAACAAGCAGGAAAAGGTCTTTCCTAAAGGAGGAGCCGTGGCTCAGTGGCAGATCCTCTGCTTGGCATGCAGAAGGTCCCAGGTTCAATCCCCGGCATCTCCAGTTCAAAGGACCAGGCAGGAGGTGATGGGAAAGACCTCGACCTGAGACCCTGGCTCAGGGGCAGAGCATCTGCTTGGCTTGCAGAAGGTCCCAGGTTCAATCCCCGGTATCTCCAGTTAAAAGGGCCAGGCAGGAGGGGATGGGAAAGACCTTGATCTGAGACACTGGCTCAGTGGAAGAGCATCTGCTTGGCATGCAGCAGGTCCCAGGTTCAATCCCCGGCATCTCCAGTTAAAAGGGCCAGGCGGTAGGCGATGGGAAAGACCTCTGCCTGAGACCCTGGAGAGCAGCTGCCGGTCTGAGCAGACAATACTGACCTTGATTGATCTATGGTCTGGTTCAATATAAGGCAGCTTCTTATGTGTATCTGCATGGAGGAACTCTTCCTTCCTTTAACCAGAGATGCCGGGGATTGAACCTGGGACCTGTACCAAGCCAGGCATCCTGGACCACCCATATCAAATTCTACCCCTTGTTAGTAAAGCAGACACCGTTTCCTCACACCCCACCCCCAGACTCCTCCATCTTGAGGTCCAGATGCTTGGATTTTACCTACAACGGGGGGTCCCTGACCTTTGGAATTCTGGCACAGTTGGTGGGCACAACCACAAGATGGCTGCCACGGGAGGCAGAGACACACACAGAGAGCCCAAGTGCTGGGGGAGAAGAGGGGTAGTTTTTAAAAAATACACTGGAAAAGAAGAGTGAGAGATAATAAGACTGGATTTATACCCCACCCTTCACTCAAAGTGGCTTACAATCTCCTTTCGAGGGCTTCTCTTGAGAGAACAGCTCCGAGAGAACTTGTGACTGACCCAAGGTCACACCAGCAGCTGCATACGGAGATGTGGGGAATCAAGCCCGGTTCTCCCAGATCAGAGTCCACGATCCTAACCACTACACCAAACTGGCTCTCAAACCAACTCTGTGGCTGCCACAGAAACAGTATTATTTTAACCTGCCCAGCTGATTGGGTCTCTGGTGGCCAATCAGAAGCTGAGCGGAACAAGTACTCCACCTGGCCCCATCCATTTCTTAAAACACACAGTGGGCACCGTGAAAGGTGTTCCTGAATGCCAGGAGCACCACACGTTGAGGACTCCTGACCTCCAATTTCCCGCTTTTCCTTTTTCCTAGACCACTACGTCACAATCCGCCTGCGCCACAACGGGAAGGTCATTGACACGAAAGAGACCAAGTCCATTGCTGGCTGCAATCCCGTGTGGAACGCCCCGTTCCTCTTCAGCATTCCAGCAGGAGACATCCTGGAGCAAGCTCTCTTGCTGGAGTTCACGGTCATGCAGGTGAGGAGACGGTCTTCCCGATTGGGGTTTTTTTTAGGCAAACACATGCGTACATGTATCGGCATGCGACATCTTCCAGTGGGTGGATTTCCCCCCCACAATTGTTTGACGTGTTGAGTTTGCCACAGGTTGACAGTGGGGGAGTTGTGACTCTTGATCTGAAGCTGGACAATTCCCTCCGGAGAAGCCCACTCGGTTATTTTCATGAGAACATGAGAGAAGCCAGTCTTGGATCAGGCCAGTGGCCCATCCAGTCCAACACTCTGTCACACAGGGCCCAAAATATACCAGGTGTCCTCAGGAGGTCCAGCAATGGGGCCAGGACACTAGAAGCCTTCCCCCTGTTGCCCCCCCCCCAAGCACCAAGAATACAGAGCATCCCTTGCCCCAGCCTGAGAGTTCCTATCTATACCTTGTGGCTAATAGCCGCTGATGGACTTCTGCTCCTAAGAACATAAGAGAAGCCAATGCTGGATCAGGCCAATGGCCCATCCAGTCCAACACTCTGTCACACAGGGCCCAAAATATACCAGGTGTCCTCAGGAGGTCCAGCAATGGGGCCAGGACACTAGAAGCCTTCCCCCTGTTGCCCCCCCCCCAAGCACCAAGAATACAGAGCATCCCTTGCCCCAGCCTGAGAGTTCCTATCTATACCTTGTGGCTAATAGCCGCTGATGGACTTCTGCTCCTAAGAACATAAGAGAAGCCAATGCTGGATCAGGCCAATGGCCCATCCAGTCCAACACTCTGTCACACAGGGCCCAAAATATACCAGGTGTCCTCAGGAGGTCCAGCAATGGGGCCAGGACACTAGAAGCCTTCCCCCTGTTGCCCCCCCCCCAAGCACCAAGAATACAGAGCATCCCTTGCCCCAGCCTGAGAGTTCCTATCTATACCTTGTGGCTAATAGCCGCTGATGGACTTCTGCTCCTAAGAACATAAGAGAAGCCAATGCTGGATCAGGCCAATGGCCCATCCAGTCCAACACTCTGTCACACAGGGCCCAAAATATACCAGGTGTCCTCAGGAGGTCCAGCAATGGGGCCAGGACACTAGAAGCCTTCCCCCTGTTGCCCCCCCCCCAAGCACCAAGAATACAGAGCATCCCTTGCCCCAGCCTGAGAGTTCCTATCTATACCTTGTGGCTAATAGCCACGGATGGACCTCTGCTCCAGATGTTTATCCAATTCCCTCTTGAAGCCATCCACGCTTGTAGCCGCCGCCACCTCCCGTGGCAGTGAATTTCCTTTCCTTGCGACCCACAATGTTGAGCACCATTGAAGTATGGAGGTGTATCTTGCCCCTTCCTGGTTGAACTTATATTTCAAGGGTATTCCAGTGTGGCAAAACCTTTCAGTTTTCGGTGTGTGGGGGGGCGGGGCGGAGTCTGCATTGGTTCTCAGTTGTTCTACCCGTTTGCTGTACTCGTCGCCCTGGCTTGGATAACGCAGGCTAACCCAGTCCCATTAGCTCTCAGAAGGAAAGCCGGGTCAACCCTGGTTAGTCCTTCGATAGAACATCAAGGAAGCCCAGGGCTGCTGCACAGAGGCAGGCAGTCGCAAACCACCTCTGTTTGTCTCTGCTCTGACCTGGACGGCCAGACTAGCCCAGTCTTGTTCGATCTCGGAAGCTAAGCAGGGTCGGCCCTGTTCGGTACTTGGATGGGAAAACCCCAAGGCCCCCCCCCCCAGGGTTGCTATGCAGAGGTAGGTAATGGCAAACCACCTCTGCTCGTTTGCCCTGATCTCGATAGCCCTGGCTAGCCTGATCTCATCAGCTCTCAGAAGCTAAGCAGGGCCGGCCCTGGTTATTATTTGAATGGGAGACCACCGAGGAAGCCCAGGGTTGCCTTGAAGCCCCCGTGAGGGTGTTGGCCGTACGACAGCGGCGACTTGGTGGCAAGTAAATACATAAATCACAGATGGTGATGCTTTCCTTCTGGCCACGCATATATGCAGGGGTCATTTCCTGCCGGAGCGCACAGGAGCGGAGCTCCGGCAGTAAAGAGCCCAGGAGGCGGGCACATGCAACAAGCCCCGCCCCCTGCTCCCAGCAGCCCTCAGTCGGGCCACGGGGAGCAAGAAGCAGCCAGGTAAGTTGCAGAGCCCCCTCCCCCCTGGGGCCTGCCTTCAGATACAAGCTCTCCCTCCTCTGTATGGGCAGATCTGTGCGTTCCCCCCCCCCAATAGCTAGCAATCCAAAACAGTCCAGTGGAGCCTGAGCGGTGAGTGTTGCCTTCTGACACACTTCCGGTGATGTCAGGGGGTGTGGCGTATGCAAATAAGGTATGCTAATGAGTTATGCTAATGAGCTCCTGCACCTCTTTTTCTACGAAATGACCCCTGCATATATGTGTTTTTAAAGCAATGCGTTTGATCCATGGGAAGCAGTTTGGTGCTTCCGTGCGGTGGCTGTGAGCCTCCAAGGTCTCTCGAACTGGTCAACAGCACCGACACGGCTTTCTTTCTCCCATTCCAGGCTCGCCTCTACACTCGCAGCTGTGCCGTGGGGAAAGTGCTGATCGGCCCCGACGCTCTGGAGATGGGGCAGCTCCACTGGAAGGAGATGTGCAGCCGAGGGAACGTGGAATCCGCTCGCTGGCATGCGATTCAACCCGAAGGAGTTCAGCCCTGCCCTTGAGGGGTGCGCCTGACAGTTCGTGGTCCCGATGGCCGGCAAGACTCGCGCTGTCAAGGGGGGGGCTCCCATCAGCAGTGCCGGAAACGGCCTCTTTCCACAACAGAGGAACCTGAGAAGGATCGGAGAAGCTTGGGGGCGGTGACTTCCGACTGGAGCGAGCCCAGCTTGAGAACAGAGCTAGTTGAGAGAGGCAGAATGGACTCCTCCAAGCCAATATCGAATGATAGGAAGTCGCGCAGATCGGTGGCTTGTGAGATTCCACCTACACAACCTGGAGCTTTGAGGAGGTCCGGGCTGTTCTGAGAACTGCCTATACCATAAAAAAGGGACGTCAGAGAAGGTGGAGAGGGTGAATGAACAGAAACTTGTGTGTGCTAGGCTCTTTGCTTCCACAAAACCAGCACGTGCCCCATAGGGACAGTGCTTGTCCTCGGATGTCGTGAACAAGATTTCGTTTGTGACGAGAACAAACCAGAAAGTCCCCCCGCTCTCGTGTGCTCTTTGCTACTGCGTGGCCGAGAGATCTAATAAACTGCAGTTTGTTGGGATGCCCCAACTGTGGCTCGTTGCCTCCTACAAACCAACCTTGGTTTGCAGACAGTGAAGCCTCACAACATACTGCAGTTCGCTGAGAGGCCCCAACTGTGGTTTGTTGCCTCCCACAAAGCAGTAACCTTGGTTTGTACACAGCGGAACAAACCACAGTTTGGCATTTTGCCCAGTTTGGATAGTATGATGAACTTCGGTTTGTTCAATCTCCCCGACACGTATGAGATGGGTGGTGGAGGTGTAGATTTGCTGGTGAGAGATGAATATGATTCTACCCAAGAGAAGGAAGCAAGCAGCCAGAATCTCGTGGTCTGAGCAGCATCCATAACAAATGCGGCGGAAAAATCCAATGGGCTATACTTAGCCTGCAGGCAGGGGGGAATCTCTGCACTGCTAGCTCACGGGGGAGGTGGGATGAATGCACACCCATGTCCGAAGCAGAACCCTGGATCAACCCAGCACCATGTCTGTAAAGCTGCACGGGAAGGTTTTTTGTACCAGGGCGGGGAGAGAAAAAGTGGGAGGAGCCAGGGGCATCTGCCCCTAGACCACAAATAAATACATTTTCATCCATGTACTCAATTGCATTCTTTTCTCCCCTCCTTTTATTTATTTATACTTTCAATTTGTACCCTGCTCACCCCCGAAGGGCTCTGAGCGGCTTACACGGTGCATGGTGCAGAGACCTATGCAGAAACCCTAACTATGGCCACAGTACGTCTGGGGTGGGGGGAGCCCTACCAGGTACCCTCCCGACGCCGATCGTTCGTTTAGCCGGCGAG